GATTGCCGGTAGCACGTGAAAAGGAAGTGGAAACCATGATTGAAGGAATGGTGAAGGATGGTGTTATTGAACCTTCCTCTAGTCCATGGTGTTCACCAGTGGTGCTGGTAAAGAAGAAGGATGGCAGCATGCGATTTTGTGTTGACTACCGCCGTCTGAACGACGTTACGAAGAAGGACAGCTATCCCTTGCCAAGAATTGACGAAACGCTGGACATGCTTACAGGAATAAAGTGGTTTAGCACGCTGGATCTAAAAAGTGGCTACTGGCAAGTTGAAATTGACCCTAAGGACAAGGAGAAAATTGCGTTCTCGACGGGAAAGGGTCTGTGGCAATTTAAAGTAATGCCGTTTGGGTTGTGCAATGCTCCAGCAACGTTTGAAAGGCTGATGGAACTTGTACTTACCGGGCTAATTGGCGATGCCTGTCTGGTCTACTTGGATGATATCATCATCGTGGGCCGTACGTTTGAGGAACACCTTCAAACCTGGAACGCGTGCTCATGAAGATTCAGAGTGCCAACCTCAAGTTGAGTCCGAAGAAATGTTCACTACTCAAACGGCAAGTTAACTTTTTGGGATATGTAGTATCGGAAGAGGGCATCCGCACGGATCCAGAGAAAATCGCCGCTGTCAAGGATTGGCCGGTTCCAAAAGACAAGACGCAGGTTAGAGCATTTTTGGGTTTGTGCTCCTATTACAGGCGGTTTGTGAAGAACTTTGCAGATATAGCCAAACCTCTGCATAAGCTAACCGAGGAGAAGCGACTTTTCCGCTGGGATGAAAGTTGCAATATCGCATTCCAGGAGCTCAAGGACCGTCTGTGCAAAACACCTATTTTGGGATACCCTGATGCAAGCAAAGAATTTATAGTTGACACAGACGCAAATGATATAGGACTTGGCGGTGTATTGTCTCAACGTAATGGTGACCAAGAGGTCGTGATAGCGTACTTCAGCAAGTCGTTGTCAAAACCGGAAAGGAACTATTGTGTCACAAGACGCGAATTGCTAGCTGTGGTAAAGTCGTTGCAGCATTTTAGCAAATATCTTCTGGGACGAAAATTTCACTTACGAACTGACCATGCTGCACTAAAATGGCTATTGCAGTTTAAAAATCCAGAAGGACAAGTTGCGAGGTGGATTGAACTACTGCAGGAATACGACTTTGAGATCGAATATCGCAGCGGGAAATCTCATGGCAACGCAGATGCATTGTCAAGAAGACCTTGTCCTGAAGATTGCAAACATTGTACTAGGCAAGAGAGTAAGGAAGTGGTATCCGTGAGGATGCTCAGGGCATACCACCTCAGCAACGAGTGGAAGGTCAGCTTACTACTTGCACAGCAGGAAGATCCGGACATCAATCCGATTCTGGAATGGATAAAAGCCAGTGCTCCCAAGCCCAAGTGGAGCGACGTCTAAGCGATGAGTTCGACCACTAAAAGCTATTGGGCCCAGTGGGACAGCTTGCTGCTTCAGGATGGAGTTCTGTGTCGTAAATGGGAAAATATTCGGGGAGACAGCTGTCATTTGCAAATGGTTGTCCCTAAAGCTAAAGTATCGGATGTTCTACAGCTCTTCCATAATGATTGTTCAGGAGGCCATCTGGGAGTTAAACGAACTCTACTGAAGATCCGAGAACGGTTTTACTGGGTCCACTGTCGAAAGGATGTCGAGGACTGGTGTCGTAAATGTACAAGTTGTGCGGCTGTAAATGGACCTCAGACTCGTAGTAGAGGTGCATTGAAGTTGTACAATGTTGGTGCACCATAGGAGAGAGTAGCCATTGACGTGGCGGGCCCGTTTCCGGAGAGTGAAAGCGGTAACAAATATTTCATGGTTGTGATGGATTACTTCACTAAGTGGCCAGAAGTCTTCGCCATTCCAAATCAAGAAGCTTCAACAGTTGCATATAAACTAGTTCATGAAGTCTTCTGTCGTTTTGGAGTACCTTTAGAGATTCACAGCGATCAAGGAAGGAATTTTGAGTCTCAAATATTCCAGGGAACTTGCCGAGTTATGGGTACTCATAAAACAAGAACGACTTCTTATCACCCGCAATCTGATGGAATGGTAGAACGATTTAATCAGACATTGGAGAGGTACCTAGCAAAAGTTGTAGACAATCAGCAACGAGATTGGGACAAGCACATACAACCGTTTTTGTTGTCATATCGAAGCGCTGTTCACGAAAGTACATCAGTGACACCAGCTTTCGCAAACTTTCGAAGAGAATTACGGCTGCCTGCGGACCTGATCACCGGGATACCACCTGATGCTCCACGTAGTATAACCAATTATGCAATGAACAAAATGAATGACATTTATGAGTACGTCAGACAATCGGGCCAGCAAATGTCTGAAAAGATGAAAACCCGGTATGACCGCAAAATGAACAACAAAGGGTTCGACGAAGGTTCACTAGTGTGGTTGCACAATCCAGTCCGCAGCAAAGGGAAATCTCCTAAGCTTCAAGCTAAATGGGACGGCCCGTACCGGATTGTTACCAGGATCAACGATGTAACCTACCGGATGTATCCGGTAGGTTACATCGTTGAGGTTTCTGTAGAAAGGCGCAAGAGGGACTCCTAAGATCGTCAATTTGGATCGTCTGGCGCGTTATTATGGGGCCGATAATGCTCGGGACGAGCATTGTCTTAGGAGTTGCAGTGCTGCGCGGCTAAGTTGACATCTGGCACTAGCGCCATTTAGTGTCGGGTAACAGAGCGAGGAGAGAGCTTTCCAAAAAATGACATCACTAATATTTCAACCGTCAGCGCCATCTAGTATCGAATTGAAGAACTAAGCTTTCTGGAAGCCCCACACTCCAACTTTCTGCGCTTGGTCGGTTGGCGCACGTATTTATTCGAATATTCTGGAATATTCTGGATGTTTTCGTGGAAGAGCCCTATATAAAAGGGCGCTGCAAGATGCGATCGGGGAAGTATTGAATTTGGCGAGACAAACGAAGCTTCGGAGCGGAATAAAGTGAATCAGTGTGCTTAATTATTAGTGTTTTAAGTTTTAATTTGTGTAAAGAAAATTAAAGTGTTAATTTAGGTAATTCTATCGGCAATTTTTAATTGTCACGAACCTCAAGCTCGTAATATTATTAATGTATTAACACTCAAATATAAATGTTATATAATTTTTAGAAAAATAACACTGTTTACAAAGTAGGCTAAAAGCATCGACTTGGACTGAGATGTTCAATTATTTAAATTATTATTTAAAAAGTTAAATATACGCGATAAATTCAGTGAAAACTAGTATTATTTTAATATGTAGTGTTCGCGTAAATATAAGAAATTTTTATTTCAAAAATTGCTTTGTAAAAACCACTTTCATATAAAAATATTTTGACTGGATTTATCACTCGCAGACACGTACCTAATACACAAAATTTAAGCTTATTTCCTTCGATTACTAATGAGATCAAAATGCGGATGCATTGTCACTGCTTAGGACTAAGATGAAAAGTTTCGTTTCCAGTGAAAAGGGTTCCCGGTTTTTTACAATCACCATTCGAAACACAGAAGCTTTGAGCTACTATTTTACGTTCGTGTGTGTGTGAGAGCGTTCCTTCCCTGGTCAAGACGACCCATTCGTACTACAAACCATAATATAGCTACAACGTTGCTCTACCACGTATAAAAGTTCAATAAAAACCCATTTATCCAAATTAAATGTTCCCGCCATAACTCTCCGTCTACCAGTTCCAGTTGTCAATATTGTCAAGATTCAAGACTTGAGTATAATTTACTACTATAACTCAGATAGGTATCAAAGATTGTTTAATTGTTTGTCAATTGTGTACAAGAAGCTGAGTGTCAAATGCTAAATGCTATGTGAGATAGTTTTCCTTACCTCTACCCATATAAATTTGATCAAGATCTGACCAGCAGTTTTTAAGTTATCCTTAATAATGCGTATTTAATTGACTTCGAATACATTGATGATATTCTCATTTAATTTATATTGAAGTCGGTTGTACAATTTTTTTCATTTTACCACTTGGTAATTATTGTATGAAGACTTTTGCTAATATAATATTAGACGATAATAATGATGAATAATACAGAATTGGCAAGAATTTATATTTGTGACGTCTTTCGTCTTTTTATCGATCTTCTGAATCCATTGCTGGATATAATAAGTCTTTACTGATAACGACGCATTCCATTTTAGTCCTCAGGAGAGATAACGCTTTGTATTTTTATTCTTAATCGTGGATAGATGTAGCCGCAGCATACAATTATTAATTAATTGGAGTGTGTTCTCGTTTATCAGACTTACTTATATTAAAATAAGTTAGGATGATCTACGAAGAAGATAGCTGGGCCGCATTGCCCCGTACTTGGTCGTTTGTTGCTCATAACCTCAATGAACTTTACTGGCAAGCATTTGTAGTTGAATCAGATACAGGTATCGAAGTGAAAAATCTAGCGATGGTCACAGACAAAGCGGTATAAAGAAAAAACAAAGGGCGGTAAACGAATGAACAATCGACATTTAAAATCATTGCTTTAGTTAGAAATCAATCTATTATAAAATATAATCTTTTTACAAAATATCAAAACGGTCCAAACAAAGTGTTTTCAATTTTTTATCTAGAGAAGGTTATATAAAGGTATAAGCTAGGTAGTGTTAATTGTTTTGTAAGAATAATTTTTCCGTTTACTAGGTGTATTGCCATTTTAAAAAGAGGTGCTGGTTATTTTGACGTAGGTAGGACGTAGGTAGGACTTGTTTATATGAACGCAAATAAGGGGTGTAACCAGAACGGATACAGGGGAGACAATTGCGAGCGAATTGTCAACTCAGCTCAGTACCGCGCTACCCTGCGGGGTAGTAAGATCGCGCGGGGATGATTTCTTAAACATCTAATAAAAATATATCGTGATTGGCAGAGTGCAAGTCTGCACTTTGCATCTAGTAGTTTTAAAAAGATGTGAGCTAAATATAGATGTCGTGCCGCAAGCATCTTGTGATAATTACAATGGTTTTCGCTTTTCTTATTGTGTCTTTGCTTGGGCCTATCATCTTTGGCCAACCGGCTGTAAGTTATTTACAATCATTTATTTCAACAATTTTAATTGGATGTTCATGTTATTATGAAGCGAGACCATGGTTGATTTAACTTTAAATGTAAATAATCTAAAGTTGAATGTTTATTGTTAATATTGTATTAAAATTAAAATATATTGAAAACTATTATTTTGCGATGCATACGTTTTACATTAATTTTAAAAGATCGTGAATATATTTCTTCTTCAGTGTTTGCACAGCTATAAAAAAACGTCTTATTGAATTTTTGCTTAAGCGCTACAAATAGAAATAGTACTTATATTATTTCTCATATTTTATGTTTTTTTTTTCATCGCTAGAATCACTTCAAGAATGCTTGACAGCACCAATTAATAAACAAATAGCTTCTCTAAAATTCTAGTAATCTATAACAATCCTGAAACAGTACCTACAGAGATTTTCATACATGCGCTTTGTCTAACAGTGTTATCGATTTGCAACGAAACATGCGCCGTATATTCAATAGTTTCCCGCGAAAACAGCATTTTCATTTTCATATTTCACTTTTCAGATATGATATGCTTACATTAATTTTCTTTCATTAATCATTAATTACAGGCTATCAAAGTCCACTGCAGAACATAGGCCTCCCTACACACCGTGTAACTTGAGGGGTGGATCGTCGGTGGCTGGGGGGTGGAGGACTTTTGCACCTATCGATTTAACCGATGTATGTAATGCGATATTCAGTGATTTAAAAGTTATTTAGACTTTGGTAAAATGTTTGTCAAAATCAAATTTTAGTCTAAACTTCGCAATTGCAGCCAATCTATAGGGTCTGCGACCGTTATTTTTTTGAAACAAGTTTAAAGAGGGTCTTTAGTACCTTTAAACCAGAGGCTTAGATTTATAAAAAAAAAACAAATAAAAAATTATATTAATGTTTTTTCTAAATCTAATGTTTACATAAATTTTCTGTTGTTCTTAAACAAATATTTCACTTTTTTTTTCTACAACCTATTTTAAAAACTACTGGCTTTCATGAAGAATTAAATATGAAATTTTCATTTGGCTAGTTCTGAGGAATCGTTTTGAAAAATGTACTTAATTAGTCCGTATGCCAATAATTGACATTTTTTCTTTAATTTAAAGTCTACTAAAAATTTAAGTTTATTTTGTTAAGCATAATTATGCTACGCTAGTAAGTAGAATAACAAGATTATAATACGAAAGGTCAGGGATAAGTCAAATAAAACATGTGCCGTTAAAATATTATTTATTATTTCTGACATGCTTATTTAAAGTAAATGTTCAAAATGAGCTCCATTATTGGCAAAACTTTCTTTTGAGTCTGGGGTATAATTCTTCTTTTTCCTAATCTTCATTTGGGACTAGTACAGTTTCAGCAGTAATTTTTCAATAGCGGTGTATTCGCTTTTGTACACCAGCCCTTTGTAAGGTCCCCAAATGACGAAATCTACAGGGTTGAGGTCTGGTGACCTTGGAGGCTAGGTTATTGGATCATCACGACCTATTAATCTACGTGGAAACATTTGATTAAAATATTCCTTTACATTCCGTGCGAAGTGGCACGGTCCATCGTATTAAAAGTACATGCAGCTCCGTTGAATTCCAAGTTCACTTTCTCCAAAATATCAGGCAAGTTATTTTGTGAAAATTGCAAATATGCTTCGCCATTTAATCTGGATGTTGAATACTCCTATCCAAATAATAACACTAATCTGGTGTTGAAAATTGTGGCAGCGTATCGCATGTGGGTGTTCAAAACTCCAGATGTGTTAATTGTGCATATTCAATATTCCACTCCGGCTAAGGGTTGATTCATCTTTCCACATTATGTTGTTAAAAAAGTTCTCATCTGCGTCGCATCTAATTATCATGTCCTGACAAAAGGCGACTCACCGTGGATAGTCCGCAGAATTCTGTGCACAGACATGTGAGATAGGCCTGTGCGGCGACCAATTGCTCTCGTACTCGTTGACGAATCTCTTTGCGCTTCTTCCAAGATTCGATTTGATCTGGATCGATTCTCGGAACTCCTTCGGGCCGAAAAGTACTGAGTAAGCGGCGATTACCATATATGCGTTCTGGACACTTAAAAAATACACAGTAATCAGGGTGTACCTAAGGTTGTGGACTACCTTTTCTAATCAGTTGCTCACGGTACATGCTAGCAGCCGCTCCGGCGTTTCCTCGGGCTGCGCCATAACAATAGTACATTTCTACATAGTCGTGTGGAGAATAAGGCATGATGGACAAAACTCACGCAAATACGGGGGTTTATGTGTATCATCTATTTTAAGTGTATATTTTTAACGAACACATTAGTCAGAAATTATTAGATAATTAAAGCTAAATTAAATAACAAATTTCATTTATGTACACGTCATCACCATCAAATAAATTCAATAATCTAATATTATTAGAAAAAATCACTGACTAAAGCATTT